GCAGAAAGAACTGTGGTTTTGGAAATGGTCAGACCCTGGACTGACCACAGCACAGACTTGGGACTCACCTTAGCATAGACTGGGACTGACCACAGCACAGATCCAGAATGCCCACAACCCTGTACCCCCTCTCTCAGCCCAGTCATGTTTGTAGAATGACTCTCAGCCCACTTCCTTCAGACTCTGGCCACCCTACAGCAGGGGGAGTTATCAGGTCCTGGGAGGTCATGGCCTCTGGTGGGTTTCATTCCAGTTGTGTCCGATGATGATTTATCTGCTTGTCTGTACAGAGAAGTCCTGTCCAGGTGAGGACTGTGTGTCCTTGACTTGCAAGGGACCCTCCTGGGGTTTCTGAGTACTCTGGGGAGAGCAGCAGAATATGGGGCCTGACTGGGGCTAACAGAACTCAGCTGCCTGATCTGAGCTGAGTGCATGCTGGATACCAGTGCCTTGCATATGCTCCCTAATTTAATCCTCACAACAACCCAAAAAGATAAGAACTATTACTGGAAACTGAGGCCAAGAGAGACTAATCCAAGTAGGAAGAGGCTAAGGGAGAGTCGTGACTCTACCTGCCTAGTTCTCAAGCATTCCAAAGTTAGGAAGCAGGAGGAGGTGCTTTAAGCTGGTCCCTGCTAGGCCCACGTGTAGGTGCAGACATGACTGCAGAGTCGTGCAGTTGGCCTGGCTCACCTCTGATGCCCGAGGAGATTCTCCAAGGCTGTCCTGAGTGAGGGCAGGGGCAAGAGAGCCCTCTCTCCTGTGAGTGAGACCACAAGGGAGAAGGGAGAAGGGGAGGCCCTGCACTCATGGTGTGGACACATTGGCTTACTCTCTGCTAGGATCCCAGCCCTTAAACATGGATGCTAGAAAGCCGCTAGGTATAGTTGGACCTGGGGAGCAGGGATTTGGGGGCCTTCTTTGATGGTGCATCTCCACCCCCCTTCCAGGTATGGCTTTGGTCAAGTCCCTGTCCCTTTCTGGGCCTCAGCTCCATGTCTGCAAAAGTGGGAGCAGGGGAAGCAGGGCCCCTGTGGATTTGCCAAGGGGCTAAGAGAGCTATGTGGGAGTCACCCCAGGCAGCCCCCTCCCTCAGCTCGTCATCCAGAGAGAGGCTGCAGTGGTATTAATAGCAGCCTAATCGCTCTCACATTCCTTGTGTGCTAAATGAAAGCAAAAATCCCAAGCTGGAAGAACAAAACTCTCCCTTCTGAGAAGACTGAGTCACCCCAGCGAGGTCAGTAGAGGCCAGTTTAACCCCTTCATTCCCAGAAGGGCCTCTTGGCTGCTGTCTTGACTCCCAGACATTAACAGAGACTGAGAGCCACGCCGCATGCAGGCTGGGGTCCTGGGACACTGGGGTTTCCGCCAGGGATTTGATCTCCTCTGTGCAGGTCGCAAGGCTCTGGGAGAGGTCCCTGACTGCCAAGAATGCCACTCACAGCCAGCAGGCTTGGCCCTTCAGGGAGCTGGCCAGTCACTCAGGGACGCCTGGCACTGCTATTCACAGACAATGTGTTTTGGCCTCCATTTCCTTATCTGTAAAATGGTACTAATTGTGTTAACAGTAATAGCATCCTCCCAGGGTGGCTGAGCACATTGAGGAGACATCTTCACCCTGACTCCTGCCTGAGGAGAGCCCCCTGTGTTTGCTGGGACATAGCAAACCATTAGGACCTACAAGGAAGGCTGGGTCTGGGCTTCCCTGCTGCTGCAACCACCCTACAGCAATGAATGCTGAGGCCCTGCCCACTGGAAAAGAGGGAGAAGATGACAGGCTTTGGACCCAGACTAGCCAGGAATATAATCCTTGACCTGCTACTTACGAGCTGTGTGATATTTAGCAACTTGCTGAGTCTCTCTGAGCTTTAGTTCCTTAATATATTAAATGGCAGCAAGACAACCCATCTCATGGGAGTTTGACAACACAGCACTTGTGGATAGCTGTCTGATGCTCAGTAAGCAGTCTGATGCACAAAAACATAACAAAAGTACATTCGTTGCTTTCTTTCATGAGTAGAGGTAGATAAAATATTTATCTTTCTTTTTTTTACTGTACAGGGTTTGAACTCAAGGCCTCATGTTTGCTAGGCAGTCACTCTACCACTTGAGCCACTTCGCCAACAATTTAGGGATTTCTAATCCTTCATTTACACAAATAATTGGATAGTTATCCCACCAGAGGCTCTTGGATAATTTGTACCACATACAAAGATAACTGGACTGTACCTCAGTTTCTCTTCCTGTGAAATGGGCCAGGTTTTACTTAAGCACTAGCTGGAGGCAGAATGAGTAGAGTCAAAAGGGCTGACTGGCTCTTAGGACCAACCTGCCTGATCCTTTCCTGACCAGGCTGGAGAGGCAGCCGAAAGGGCTGGGCAGTGGGTTGAAGAGGGAGCTGTGGGATGGAGAACCAAACATTACTCAATGTTTTCTCCTTTTATGGGCCAGTGCTCTAGATCTCCGCATCCTGCAGGTTCTATTCCAGACTCTGCCATGAGGGATGAGAGGTCCGCGTGCCCACGAGATCCCACAGAACCCAGATGTCACCCTGGGGGTGGAACTGGACCCCTACCTTGCTATTTTAAGTGGGAAGTTTATAATAATGGATGGGAGAGAAAGCAAACAGGGCAGGAGCAGCGTGGGAATGGTCCGGCAGGCGGGGCTGCTTGGGTTCTCCCCACCCACCAGGAATTTGGGTTCCATCTTGTCACGGGTGGGACCTCAGCCAGCATCTCCTCTGCCTTCATCCTGCTGCAGCTGACACTCGTGTGTTTGTCTGACTTGGTTCATTGCTGTTTTGTTTCTGACAAGGGACTGGCTGAGGTCTTTCTTGAAGAAAAGGGGTGGGGGAATGGAGGGTTATATTATGGGATATTTCTAGTCTGGAATCCTGGGATGGGAACATCATGCCTTCTGGGTGGTTGTGACTAGGAAAGTCCAGGACTTTAAGGAACTCCTAAAGAGTTTAGAGTTGGCAAAGGCCCTTATGGTGGTTAGAAAGCCCTGAGCCTTGCCCCAGCCTGTGCTGGAACTCTCACAGGAACCTTAAATGTGTCCTGTGTCCTCTTCAGCTGATTCCAGCCAGCAGGTTTCCTTTGCCTTCCTTCATGTGACCTTTCAGGATTGATCGTGCACCTGTCCTCTGCAGACAACAGAACCACATGAAGGCCTTTCGAATATCTAAGAAGGAATTGTATTTCGCCTTGCAGCTTCCTTTATCCCAGCTAACGGTCTCTAGTTCTGTGAACACAAATTCTTGTCCTCCTACCATCTGCTTCCCCTTCTCTGAACATGCCCCAATTTTTCTAAATCCTTCTTAGCCTACAGAGCACACTACGCTTTGCGTACATGAAGGCATAAAGGAGCCATGGAATGGGCACTTCCCATGTTTTGGAAACCATGTTCCTATTAAGACAGGATGGACTTAGACATTCATCACACTGAACTTTAAGAGGGTGCCTGAGAAGTGCAGCCCACTTGTCTGGTAGAATTGGGGTTTGTAGATTCTCTTTTGCTACCCTCAACCCCTGTTACACATACTTTACCACTGTTGTCACTGCTGAGGACTAAGAAAAGATCGTGGAAATGAATCACAGAGCTCATTTTCCAGCAAACCTGATTCTCAGTTTATTCATACAGTAGCTGCTTGAGCTGGGAGACACAGAGCCCTGGCCGCATGGCTCTCATTCCCAAGAGCCAGGTTAGGTCTGCCCAGCGTGTTTTCTTCTCTTCGATCTCATCTCTCCTGCTCAGCCCCCAGCTATTCTGTCCAGATAAGTTCCGTTCACATCTTACTGTTACAGTTGAGCTCGAATACCATTTCTAATGTAGGACCGCCACTAAAACCATGTCCCACTCTCTCAGTTTCCATAGTTAGGAGCCCTTTTCTGAAGTGTCAAAACTTCTTGTTTTCGAGTTACTTACCTCATTACACTGTTTTCCAACTGCCTGCCATCACTGGCTGGACTCCATGCTCCTTGAATAATCCAGACCACGGATGGTCTATTTGAGATGAGATTTCTCAAGATGGCCAGCAGAGGTCACCCCAACTATTTTAGAACTGAGTGGGGTTACTCATTCAGGGCAAATGACAATAGCCAAGACGGTGGTCACCTTGACAAATCCTGGGACTCAAGATTTCTAGTTCTTTAAACACAAATCAACAACCAGTTTTTGATGAGTCTTTTGAATATTTGCAATGAATCAGACACCTCGCCTGCTTCAGGGAGCCAGGTCCAGAGGTGTGCGTGTTGGCAACAGTGGGATGGGTCAATTGTGGCTGATGCCAGATCCCAGCCTGCCCTGTGCTGCTCTATCGTTGGGGCTTTACTGAGCCCTTTCTGTGAAACAGGAAGAACACCTAATGTCATGGGAGGTGGCAAAGCTTTCTGGCTCTTTCTCCTGCAGCTTCCAGCAGAGAGCAACACCTGACCTGGACCTGGGGATACAGTAGGTACTCAGTAAATGGCAGTGACCTTTGTTCTCTCCATGGGGACAAAGTCAGGACACACAGCCATTGAGGCTGTGTAGTGTATTGGAAAGAGCCCTGGCTTTGGATCGGAAGATCTGGATGCAGACACTTGAGTTTTCATGTGATTTGTGGGTGATGGCTTCCATTCCTAGAGACAGCTCCCTCATCTATAGAATGGGACTCCTAACGCCTATGTCAGAGGTTGTCATGAGGATTCAATTAGATGACGTTAGTAATGTTCTTAGGATAGTGGCTAGCATCCAGTAGGAGCTCAATAAACGCTGTACAAATACAATCTGATTCCAGTGGAGTAGCTTCCATTGCTTATGGCTTTGAGAAGTCTGAGGCACTTTTCTCCCTTCTGGAATAGCTCTGTTTACTGTAAGGACCAAATTAGATGCAAAAGGTCACCTCTGGCTTTTGTAAACAAAGCCAGAAAGCAGGAGGAAATGTAATTCCAAATGCCCACTCCTAGCCTAGTTTGACCTCTGGCGTTGATGCAAACTCAAGCAGGCTCTCTGTGTGGCTCTTGGCTCCTGGAAATGGAACCCAGCTTGGGACAGCAATGGGAAGGAATTTGACTTGTCCTTTTGGCGTCTCCCCAGCCTGTGGAACCCAGGCCTCTTGGAGCATCTTTGGGGCTGACGCAGCGGAGGTTCCGGGCACAAGCGGCCACTCCAGCCAGGAGGCTGCCATGCCCCACATTCCTGAGGATGAGGAGCCCCCCGGAGAGTCACAGGCAGCCCAGAGCCAAGTAAGTGCCCCTCTTTGTCTGTGGCTAGCCTGGCTGGGGGCCAAGTCAAGTGCCCTGGGCAGAGGCCACAGCTCTCAACTGGCCAGAGGGTTGCTGACAGTCCGTGTAGGCTGCAGTAGGCACTTGGGGAACGTGTGTGGCTTTCACACTGACAAATCTGAGTTTACTTGCAGTAGGCTCTGTCCTGCATATCCTGTGTGTGGAACCACCTAGGCTGTGTCAACTGCAGCTCCATGGGGAGTCCAATCACCCTTGCCCCATAGGCTCCCTCCTGCACTGGAGAAAGGTGAAAAAATTGCCATCAGCACTGACAGCCTGGTCACAGCAGAGTAGTGGGTACAACCAAAGGCCACTTCCAGTAAATCTGCTTGAAATGATAATCAAAACTTCATAGTAAATGATGAGAAAAGTTTTCAATGAAATTTTATTATAAAACAGGAAATGATGAAAATAAGCTAAGAGAGTATCACTGAGATTTTTCTTGTGCAAATGAAATTATGAAAATAAGTTATTTATGCTACACATATGTTATCATTTTTAGATTGAACAATGAATTAATCATGTGCTGATTTTGGTATTAAACTTTTTTGTTTTGGTGGTACTGGAGTTTGAACTCAGGGCCTTATGCAGGCATGCTACCACTTGAGCCACTCTGCCAGCCCTTTTTTACATTGAGTATTTTCAAGTTAGGGTCTTGGGAACCATTTGCCTAGGCTGGCCTCGAACAACAATCCTCCTGATCTCTGCCTCCCAAGTAGCTAGGATTGCAGAAGTGAGCCACTGGTGCCCAGCTGACATGTTGTTGCTTTTTTTTAAATACCAACAAATTAATATGCTTGCGTACCACGTTCCTCACATCTTACTTACAGTACCTTCATTAAGAGTTTGTTTAATATTTAAGGACTTCATCCATTTTCCCAAGGATCTCTTTAAATCTTCCAACATTCAACTCTTTCCCTTTTTGAAGAACCTATCTTGCTGTCATCCTTCTTGTTTTTGTAAATTCTTCTGGACTGGTCGGGCTCCATCAGATCCTCAAAGCTTGCTCATAAGGTTTTCCAACATTGTTTTCTTTGACTTCATGAACTTTGCAGTTGGTTTGTCCTGAACTTGTGTCATCCTCTTACATCTGTCACCCATGCTGACCAGAGCCAGATGGGATAGACATTTGCTCAGTGAGGGAAGAATGTATGAGTGAGCATTATTTTTCTAGATAGGCAGATTCCTAGTGAATACTTTCACGTTATGATGACATTTGGTTTCTTACACATCATGACTGTGGGAACTTAGATGACAAATACTTAGAAAAGAATGGACTCTTGTAGCTGCATATCCCAAGTTTATGAGTCTGACATGACCTGGAAGCACTGGGGGTAATGCCCTTTCCTTGAATGTCTCAATGACCATGGCCTAAGACCCCATCTTTCTATCTGCAGGCTCAAGTTCAGGTTTGTTTGAGCAGCCTGGGACATACAGGGCCCCAGTGCGTACTTGTCAGTAGCTGTCAAGACTGCCAAATTCAGGGATCTTTGGGATTAAAGAAAGGAATGACAGCATGGAGCAAAACACTCACAGTTGGATTCAAGTGTGACTGCTCCCAGAGCCACAGGTCATGACTTTCCTGGACTCTGTCTCGCTCCCCAGCCCTGGTCTTCTCTCACAACAACCATTCCTGACCCCCTCCACTTCACTAACAATTGTAGTGCCCTGGAATTAGATTCTCATACAAAGTCTAGCTCCCCAATCCTGGGCAATTCCCCTAAACAACTACCCCAAGAATAAAAGTATTCCTAAAACAATAATAAAAGATGAGCAGAGATACAACTCTATTACCAGGAAAGATAAGATTTTATATTGCATTCCACTCTTCCTGGTTCCAAACCTAACTTTAACTAAAAGTTCTTTCAACCCATATCCTCAGGAGACACAAAAACCTCTTGGCCCTCCTGGCCCTGGTGGCTTCAAGTCACACATAGTTACAGCTCCATTAGGATGGGGTGAAGGTGAGTTTCTGGGGGTGGTCCAGCAGGGGAGGAATCCATGAGCTGGCTGCAAGGTTGAGGTAAGAGAGCTGTAGGTAACCAGCTCCAGATTCCAGCTCCCCAAGCTCAGTCTCTGGTTCTGTGACCTTGAACCAGAACCAGGCTTCCACACAGACTGATGGGGTGGGCTCTGATGGTCTCTGAAGTCTCTTTGAGTGCTAATTTTACCTGTGTGCTCAAGGGAAATCAAGACTCTCAAGAGAATGCTTGCAGGGCCCTGTGGCTTCTGCCTTGCTGGAGCACAACAGGAAAAAGATGTGAGAGAAAGTCAGGATAGCTGGGGGCCAGGAAGTTCAGCTCATGTAAGGGAAGACAGAGCACAGGATTTAAAAGTGTGGACTCTGAAGAACCCCAGATCCTCTACATCTTGGTTCAGAGACCTTGAGTTACAATGCCAAGTTAACCTTCAAGTCTGTGGTTCTTCATGTGCTACCCAGGACAAGCATTAGCTGCTGCCTCCCTCACCCTGTCTTTTCAGCCTATCCCTGCCTGAGGCCTGGATGACGATGGGGCTGGGGCAGTTTAGACCGCCGCCCCCCCAGACTGTATGCACACATGAGATTAAAAATTCTTCTATACTCTGCCCTTTCTGCCAGGCTCTGGGCCTCCCTGAGTTCTCCAGAAGCCAGCCAGGCATAGTCCAATAAAGGGTTTCTACCCTTATTGCATCCACTGGTCAACATTGGGCTCCTCAGGCAGCCACAGCCTCGGGGGAGGGTCAGGCCTCCAGAGCCAGGCTGAGGCCTCCAGGGGCTGGAGCCTGAGTCCCTGGGAGCGCGGAAACTAGGCAGCCAGGGAAACAGGGCAGGCCAGGATCAGCCGGAAATCCCAGTTTCATGTGAATTCCCACTCTGTGAAGCAGGCAAGGAACAGAGCATCCTTCTAAGTTACAGGTCCCCGGGGTCCAGCCCTAGCTTTGGATGCTCTGCCCCAGCCCCCATTTCCCATCATTGGCATGAGTGCTTGTTGAAGCCTTCTCACACAAAAATACAAAAGCTATAGGACTAGATTCTGATTTTCTTTCTCTGTGTTCTCTCTCTCTCTTTTTTTCTCTCTCTCTCTCACTCACTCACACACCCACTTTAGGCCTCTAATCAGAAGCTGTAATCAAATACCATAAACAAAACCTCCTAACAATGTTCTCCTTCTGTCCCAGCTGTGTCCCTATGGCCACATATGGAGGGACTCAAAGGAAGAATCTGTAGCCAAGGGCTCTGGCAGAAACAGAAACAGGACCTTAGAGGACTACAGAACAACAGCTCATCAGAGGTAGAGAGATCCCAGATCCCATCTAAGTCCCTCTCACACAGGCAAAGCTCTCTATAACATGAGCCCCAAATCAGTCACCTTGAGAACTTATGGAACCCCAGATTCCTGAGCCACCCAAACCTGCTGAGTGGAAATATCCAGGGTGACTCTTCGGATTCTGCAGGAATATTTCCATGACAAGAGATTCACCACCCACCAGGAGCCTGTGCATGACTGGCAGCTCTGTCCTGGGCGAGCTGGGATCTGCCTCCCTGTGTCCTCCCTGTGTCCTCCCTCCATGCTGCCCTCCACAGCAGCCTGCAGCAAGAGAAATCCCACAGATGGAAGAGGCAATTTGTGGGTCTTCCCAGCATCTCCTTTCTCTAGTTCCTCAGTCTTTGCTCCTACCACAGTGTCCACAGTTTCCCCTACCCCTTCCTCAGGACATATCCAGCTGTACCCCATTCAGCATGCTGTACCATGCAGCCCCAGGTGCCAGAAACAATTCAACTGTATTTAGCATTTAACTTCCAATCAGCCTTATGAGGTAGGTGTCATCATTTCCATTTTGTAGTTCAGAAAACTGAGGCACAAAACAGTTCAACTGTCTTCCTCTAAGGTCACATAGCTGACAAGTGGCAGGACCAGAATTTGAACCCTGGCAGCTTGGCCCTGGAGACTGTGTTTCTAGTCTGTTTCCTGCACTGAGCACTGCTCACTTTGCCACTGGGCCCTCCCTGAGAGCTCTGGGAACTGGACCAGGAGGACATTCTCCTATATTCCCAAAGCTACTTGTCAGAGGGGGACCAACCTGGGCCCCTGAAGAAGCCTCAGTCCTGTGATTTACAAACCATGCACTGGGTCTTACCAGACCCATCTGCTTACCATTCCCTCATGTGGGGCCAGGGGACATGCACACATCTGCATTTGTGACTTCCTCATTCTCCTTCACCCAGATGTTACAACAGTGCAATGTGGTACACACACACTCCTAGAAACCAGACCCTTGTTGTGGCCTGGCCTAGGCCTTCAGTGATTTCTTGGAGGTACCAGAAATACTCTGGGTCTTAGGCATACCTGTGTGAACAGCACCATGAAGTAGAAACTTCTAGGCCCCACTTCCTGAAGTTCAACCATGAATAAGTAATTCATCTTGTCCCAGTTTCCTCATCTGTAAGCCAAAGGCTACAGTAACAGCTGCTAACAGCCAACCCTTATGGAGTACTTACTGTGTGCCAGACACAATGCTAGGATGCATTATTCATTTCATTCTCACAATGCCCTAGTGAGGAAGGTACCACCATTATTCCTACTTACAGATAAAGAATCTAAGCACAGGAAAAAGACAAATAATGCACATGCAATAATCCAACTAAGAGGGGAAGCTAAATTCAAACCCAGCTTGGCCTCAATAACCAAATTACACACATATAAAGTGCTCTGCTCATAGTAGGTGCTCAGTCCTTACTACAGCACAAAGGGTTTGCAAGAGTTTCCACATGCATCATTGTAATTGATCTTCCAACACCACCCTGAGGTAGGAAGGGCAGAGATCATCTCCCCAGGAAAGCACAAGTTCAGAGAGTGAATAGTTAGAAACTAACACATAGGCTCCTCGAGGTTCCTAGACTGCAGTCTTTACACTCTTCATCTTGTTTAACTTCCTAACTTTCTTATAAAGGAGCAATGACTACATTCATTTTGCAGCTC